TATTAAAAAAAAAAAGTTAGGAACCATTTAAAATAATAAGAAGGGCCTGGCAGCAGTGACGCATGCCTTTAATCCCGGCACTGGGGAGGTAGGGGCAAGTGGATTTCTGTGAGTTCAAGTCCAGCCTGGTCTACAGAGAAGTTCAGGACAGTCAGAACTACATTGAGAAACCCTGTCTTAAAAACAAAAACAAAACAAAACAAAACAAAAAACAAGAACCGAAGAGATGGTTCAGCAGTTAAGAACACAGCAGTTAAGTCGGCTGCTCTTCCAGAGGACCTAGATTTGATTCCCAGCACCCACACAGCAGTTCACAGTTGTCTAACTTCAGTTCCAGGATATACAGAGCCCTCTTTAGGCCTCCACAGGAACCAGGTAAAAAAGTGGTGCACAAACATCTACGCAGAAAAAACATCCATACATATAAAAAAATTTCAATTCATTTTTAAAAATTAATGTATACATTCCTTGGAGCTGGAGAAATAGATGCACAGATATACATGCATTCAAGCACCCACGTGCCTAAAATAAGTTAAAAAAAGAAAAGAAAAGAAAAGAAACGCAGCCAGGCACGGTGGTGCACACAGTTAATCCCAGCACTGAGAAAGCAGAGGCAGGTGGATCTGTGAGTTTGAAAAAAACCTGGTCTGCAAGGTGAGTCCAGGACAGCTAGTGCTACACAAAGAAACCCTGCCTCAACCCCCTCCAAAAAAGAAAAAAAAGCAAACAGAAAATGGGCTGGAGAGATGACTCGGCAATTAAAAACACTGGCTGCATTTGCAGAAGACCTCAGTTCGGTTCCCAGCACCCACATGGCAGCTCACATCCATCCGAGACTCCAGCACTAGGACATATGAGGACTCTTCTGACCTCCACAGGCTCTTGGATGCACACACACGGTGCACTTAAAGACATACAAGCACACACACACAAAATAAAACAGATATTCTTAAAGTAGTAACAAAAATAAAAGAATGAGGAAAATGCCCACCAGTGTCATGGAGATCGTTGGCTTTGGTCCTGGCCCGGCTGGCCTTGGCACTGTCATTGCCATGGGGGTCATCTTCATTGGTGAACAGCATGATCCTCTTATGACTCATCTTGACCTGGACGTCGCTAAAGAGGTTGGCACAGACCCAGAGCACTTCACTCAGAGAGTAATCCGATGCATGGCCAATTGTGTCTTGGAAATGTTTCTTTCCCTGCTGTCCCTTGAACCGGTCAAGCTCCAGCACTCGCTTCGCACCTGATGGGAGGCAGAGGAACAAGTGTATCCAGCGGTACCCTCACCACAGACTAACAGAGGCTGGAGCCCCTCCCCACCCAACCACCACAGAACTAGAGCAGAGGTGCCCAACAAGGATGCACTGTGCAGGAAAGCAGGTCCCCAGCCAGGATCAAAGCCGCAGCCTCCTCCAGGGTCCTGTCTGTTCAGCTCAGTGATGTTCTCACATAAAGGAAACCACGTTCTTGGATTACTGACCTGGGTTATCCAAATCTTGTAAGACATAAATGTTTTTGAAGTTCACTGAATTTTTGTCCTTCTTGGTTCCATAGAACACCACTGCCAGGAGATCCCGATCGCTACTTATGATCTTACTGGTGTACACGCTCTGGATACACTGAAAACACAAGCATTCTGAGTGTCTGCGTACCATGAGCCTTCTGTAAGTGCCTAGTATGGTGGAGCCCTGTTCAGTCTTAGTGCTGCTAAAGTCTGGCACGGTTGGCACATGCCCATAATCCCAGCACTTTGGAAGGTGGAGGCAGGAGGCTGTAGGCGTGTGCCATCATGGTGGGTTTATGCAGCCCCGGGGATTGAACTCCTGATTTTATACATGGTAGGCATGTACCCTACCAAATGATCTATAACCGCAGTCCACTTGTGCTCATTTTAAAACTGTGTTGCAGCTGGGCGTAGCGCTGCACGCCCTTAATTCCGGGACATCCAGGGCCCTGTTAACACAAAGAAGCCCTGTCTTGACAAACAAACAAACAAACAAAAAATTGTGTTCTGTTTATTACAAGTAATATTCATCTTCTCAAATTGTAAAAAGACTTGTTCTAAGTCCATATATGTATATGTGCATGTGTGTGTGTTGGTACTGGGGATTGAACTTTGCTGTCAACCTCTAAGCCAGCCTCAAAAGGACCTTATCCACACCAGAACAGCACTTGACTTTATAATCCATTTCTGAGGAGAAGGCACTTCCTGCCAAGGCTTACACAGATGGTGGGAGCAGCATATTCAGGGTACCCAGAATAAGATGGAGGCTGTCCTCCCACGTGGCTACTCTTTTCTGATGCAAGTATTAAGTAACCATCTGGGGTGGGAGTGGGAGGAATAAACCATCCTTGATGCAGAAACTTTCTAAAGAGTCCATGTTTTTACTTAAAAGTGGGATTTTTCAGGGCTGGGGAAATGGTTCATCAGTTAAGAGCACTGGCTACTCTTCCAAAGGACCCAGGTTCGACTCCCCAATCCCACATGGAGTTTCACAACTATATATAACTCCAGATCTGGGTACTGACACTTTTCTTATCATCCTCTGGTATCAAGCATACAAGTGGTAGACAGATATACCTGCAGACGGAACACCCATACACACAAAATAAATTTGAAAATAAATAAATTTTTAGATAAATATATTTTTAAAATAGAAATGGCATTTTCTGGGATTGGTACTACATATTTATAATACCAGTACATGGGAGATGGAGACAGGATGAATATCAGGATTTTTTTTCACGTATTTATTTCTATTTTATGTGGATTGGTGTTTTGCTGGATGTATGTCTGTGTGAGGGTGTCAGATCCCCTGGAACTGTAGGTACAGACAATTGTGAGCTGCTGTGTGGGTGCTGGGAATTGAACCCAGGTCCTCTGGAGGAGCAGTTAGTGCTTCTAACTGCTGAGCCATCTCTCCAGCCCCAACATCAGGAATTTAAGGTCATCCTTGGGTATAAAGTAAATTTTGAGGCCAGCCTAGGCAGCTCACAACTCCCTGTAACTCCAGCTCAGATGATACCCCCTTCTCTCTCTCTCTCTTACACATGCTCTCTCTCTCTCTCACACACACACACCACACACACACACTGATGAAAATTTTAAATTAACCAGGCAATGTGGTGCACGCCTTTAATCTCAACACTCAGTAGCCTGCCTGGTCTACAAAGTGAGTTCCAGGATAGCCAGGGCTACACAGAGAAACCCTGTTTCGAAAAACAAAAAAACAACGTAGAGTGGCACTAATCTGCTTTTGGCAGAATCTCACTATGGAGCCCTAGCTGCCTTTGAAGTCATGTTCTTCCTACTTCAGCCTCCAAGGTGCAGGTTACAGGCCTACGCCATCATTCCCAAACCTTTTCTACAAGGCGGACAGGACAACTATGAATCAAGTATGATTCTCTCTAAAAAGGAGATACTGGACCCCACATGAGGCCTGCGGATGAGAAGCAGTCTGACAGTCCTGGAAGCAGTGTGGACACTGCAGACTTCAGTCAGTCCAACAGGAGACAAAAGGCTCTTCCTGGGGTTCTGACCTGACTCCCACAGCACCTTACCCACCCACATTCTGCTCCACAGGCTTCTTCCTATTTGTTCTGTGTTTCCAGACAGGGTCTCACTATGTAGCCCTTGGCTATCCTGAAACTAGCTATGTAGACCAGGCTGGCCTCAACTCCTAAGTGCTGAGATTAAAGGCGTGCGCCACCATGCCCATTCATGCCTTGTAGAAAAGGCGGTCTTACCTGAATGCTCATATCAAAAGGTGTGATTTCATCTTCACCTTGAGATTCAAACATGGGCCTGGAGGCATCAACCAGAAAAATCAAACTGTCTCTTCCTGAATATTTATACTCTCCTATGGAGAAATAAATGGGAGAAAACATTTGCCTTTTGCATCATATTTAGTATGTTTATCACACACACAAAAGAGAAGAAACCCATAGAGCAAAAGTACAACCTGACAGATTACTGTAGGACAAACACACTTAAACCCACCACTCCCGTCAGGACCCCGAGCCCTGACAAGAGCCCTCAGTCTTTCCTACGTCTCCCTAAAGGAAACCAAGATCTTGACTTTTTGGTAATCATTCCCTTATTTTTCTTTATAGCATATGTGAATGCCTGGGTCCAAGTTCCAACACCAAAGTACATGCACTATATGTATCTATAATTCATCTAAGTATATATCTCAAATCATTAGTTTTGACTTACTTTTATTTCCTTTTAAAAAATTTAAGGGAGGGGCTTATGGGGGGATACAAAGTGAATAAAGTGTAATTAATAAAAATAAAAAAATTTGTGCCTCTAATCCTAGCACTTGTGAGACAGAGGCAGGTGAATCTCTCAGTTAAAGGCCAGCCTGATCTACAAAGAGAGATGTTTTTATTATTAGATGTATTCATTTTATTTTATATGTGAAAGTTTTGCTTGCATATATGTATGTAGACTATGTGCGTGCTTGGTACTCTCAGAGGCCAGAAGAAGGCATTAGGTCCCCTGGAAATGGAGTTATGGATGGTGAACCACCATGTGGGGTGCTGGGAATAGAACCTAGGTCCTCTGGAAGAGGAGCCAGTGCTCCTAACCACTGAGCCATCCCTCCAGCCCTTGGGAGTCTCTTCTTCTGAGGTTGAGGGAAGTTTTGTGGTACAAACCTGAAGCTGGGCCCAGATTCCAGGCAAGAGGCAGGAGAAAAGGTGGAGAACAGGACATGTGACCTGTGGCCACCAACACCCGTTTTCATGTAAACCCACTTCCCAGGAGTTATCAGGAGCTCAAAGTCAACATCAGTTACCAGGGAGTTTGAAGTCAGCCTAGTCTACATGAGACCTTGCCTCAAAAAGAAATAAATAAACAGGAGCTGCAGAGGTAGCTCAGCGGTCAAACCAGTGGTTAAGAACACCTGCTCCTCTCTTGCAGCTGCCCCAGGTTCATTTCACAGCACCCACACAAAAGCTCACCACCACTTCCGCTCCAGGAGAGCCAACTCCCACTTCTGGCTTCCTTTTGCACCTGACATGCACACACACACACACACACACACACAAAATAAAAATAAATGTTTAAAACAACCAAAAATAAGTAAAAAAAAAAAAAAAAAAGACAAAAATGACCATTTATTGAAGATTAATCAGTGACTAGTTAAAAAAAAATAAAGGGTTAGAAATGTTCATTGACTGAACAGGACCTGAATAATAACAAGTAGCTCTGCAAAAATCAAAGGGAGAAAAATTATTTTAGATTATCTTGGGAGAAAAGGGAGGGCTGTCAGACAGCAAATACTCCCAGCAAAAAGTGTAGACAGTAAAAAAAAGCAGGAAGAAAATCTTTCTTCCACACAGACCACACCACGTGACGAGGCCACTTACCACCTGCGTCAGGGCTCTGCTCCTCCTCTTCGTCTTCGTCGCCATCGGTTTTGTAGTAGGATTCCCACTCTGACATGTTGGCTTGTCACTAGGCAAGAGAAGTTATGAAGGACAAATTTAAACAAAACAAAACCCGAGGAAGGTAGCTCTGTGGCAAAGCGCTTGCCTACCTATGCCACTAGGAAAATAAAATAAAGGAAGGAAAAGAAGAAACGGACTCCTAGGGTCTTTTTAGATCTGCTCAAATGCTCTCCTGCTGAGAGCTCTGGGTCTTTGAAGGGGCAGAGGAATTAGCATGGGAATCATCCAGTAGCAGCTTCCCCTTGGCTATCCCTTAAGGATGCTGCAGGACCAATAAGTCTGGGGTGAGGGTCGGGGGATCATGGAGCAGCTCAACCGGGAAGGTCCCATCTCCAGCGCCGCCTGGGCTGGGAGGGTGCTTGGTGGTCTGGCTAAAACACTCTTCATTCCTTCCCCAGGTCTCCCCCGACCTTCAGGCAGAGACTCTCAGTGAAGTCTCCACCACCAGTCAGTTCTATGCCTCCTCCTGGGGTAAAAGACGTGTCTCTTCCGACAGACACTCCTACGCGGCGAGGCAGAGGGCCCCGCGACACAGCGTGCAAGCAAGGCCTCCGAGGCATGCCGCACCCGACACGTACCTGCTTTTGCAGCAAGTGAGCAAACCACCGGGACGGCAGAAGGCGGGCCCCGCGTCCGCGCGGGCTCCAGCTCTCGCCCCAATCAACGGCGTCAACGTCATCACGCACAAACGCCCTTGTACTCGCCCTGCGGACACGCCCACTCCCAGCCCGGGCTTCCACCCACATCCCCTAAACTGCACCGCGCGCGGCCAGAGAAAGCCCCGCCCCTTGCCCGAGGCCCCGCCCCCGCCAGCCCGTCAGCACCGAACGCACATGCGTGAAAGTGCGTCCCCGCCCCTGCCCCCTGTTCTGTGCGGAGTCTCCGGGATCTCTGTCACCTCACAGAAGTCGTTGCCGGTCGCGGGTGTGGGGCGCGAGTAGCGCAGGGCCGCCTTCCCCCCCCCCCTCAGGCCGGGCTCCGGCTCGGTCCCCCGCTCCCTCCTCTCCCCACCCTGGTCGGGTACCCGAAGGTCCAAGCCGCTGCCGGCTGCCCGAGGGCCATCGTGGCCGCCGCCACGGGTCCTGATGGAGCCGCCGAATCTCTATCCGGTGAAGCTCTACGTGTACGACTTGTCCAAAGGCCTGGCCCGGCGGCTCAGCCCCATCATGCTGGGTGAGGGGACCGGGGTCAGCGGGAAGTAGGCAGGTGGCCGCCGGCAGATCGCTGCCGAGGGGGGGTAGAGGGACCCACGGGTGGGAGAAAAGACCCATTAGGGCAGGGAAGAGAGCGGGATGGAGTTCTCTGAGCCCCTTTTCCAGCTTCACGATCCAAGCCCTTGTAGGGTCCCGGCTGGGAGCAAGTTAGGGACTGATCTTGGCGAATCCTCTACACTCCTTCTTTGGCTCAAAGTAGAGAAAGCGAGGATGTCTCCAGCGCGTGTCCCCGGTGGTGGAAGCGACACTGCAGATCCTCTGGCGGCTCTCGGAGTGACTGCCCTCCGCGCCAAAAGGAAACTCCCTCTGCAGTCCTTGGAGTGGATGGGAAGGCAGAGGGCCTGAGTACTCGCGCGGCTCCAGGTTAGGTCAAGTCAGGTCACCCTGAGCCAGAACTTAGAACTAATCACATTCTGTCCGACAATGCGGTCTTCGCTCAACAGCTAATTGCTTTTGACCAGATGGTGAGAAAGCAATTCTGGGGGAAGACGGGATCCTGTTTTGTCAGTGAGGGTTAGTTAAGGGGAAGTGTTTGGTTTGCGCTCAGGTTCGAATGGTTTAGCGCTGAGAGAGATAACTTCAAGTCAGATACCAAAATGTCTGTATCCCATAGGATTTGTCAGGTTTGCCCTTTCAGGTAATGACGGACAGGAAAGGAGTTCAGGGATTGACAATCACGTAGTTTTGCACCGTCCAATCGATAGTGTTTCCTGGCCTAGTTCTTCCTCAGTGAAGGCAAGGGGCAGGGATCAAGGAAGCGAGGCAACTTTGGGGGCCATCTTTTTGTGATGTGTCACTGAGCTGAACTTCATTAATCCTTCCACCCTGGGGCAGTGAGTGGTTTCTAAATTTGGCTTCACATCAGAATCAGCTAGAATGTTCGTTAAAAACACAAGCACCTGACTAAGTATGAGGCTCACTCACTGGAGAATTCCTGCTTGGCGCACATGCTTCAAGCCCAGGGCTTGGTCTGTAACACGGAAGCAAAAACAAGTGCGTTCCTTTCCAGTGTATATTGTTAAATAAAATCGGGGGAAATGTATTAGAGTCAGCCAACTGTAGTGGAACACACTTGTAATCCTAGTACTAAGGAGGCTGAGGTCAGAGGGCTGTGGTTTCAAGACCAGCAATCTAGGCTACATAGTACATCGTGTTAAAAAATAATAATAAAATAAAGAAAAGGGAGCAGGAGAGAGAGATAAAATTAAAACAATTCCTCTATCAAAGAAACTGGTAACCGGGAGCTAATGGAAACTTTGCCCTGAACTTTTTCTCACTGTTTCAACACATACACTTCTGTAAGTTTTAAATGTGTGAATCGTAGAGCCACATTTTACAAATACTGAACCAGAATCTTTGGGAATCTGTATTTTTAATGAGTTTGTTGGATCACTCTTTATGTAGCCAGCCCATTCCATTATCAGAGAGAAGTTTGGACCTAAGTCATGGGTTGTTGGCAGGGCCTAGTGACTCGGTGGTAGAGGCCTTACCTAACATACACAAAGCTGGAGTTCGGTCGGCAGCACACCTAAGAAGAAAGGCAAATCTGAAAGCAAAACTTCCAAGTACTCTTTGCGTTGTTTGTTTGGGAGGCTTTTGAGTCGTTGGTAGACTCTATCAGTCAGGTTCTAGCTATGTTCCTTGGAATGCAGCCATTTGTTTAGTTTTATCACAGGAAGGCATTGTTTATTTCCTCCACCCATAAAGCCTCCCCTCCCCATCCTGATTATTTTTGTCCTAATACCTAATAGTTATTGTTCTTAGCTGACAGAGACACTAGATATTGTTGTTTCATTCATTAAACAAATTAATTTGAGTGCTTAGCATGTGCTCATGTTTAATGTGGTAATGTTTAATGATGTGGGTGGAATGAACAAAGATGTTTGCAGTCATGGTGTTAGCTAGCGCAGTGTGTGTGTGTGTGTGTGTGTGTAAAATAAGAGCAAATTGTGATCTGTGCTAAATGCCAAGGTAGAAAATAATATCAGAGTCTCATTTTAAATAAGAGTTTCAGAAGCTGTGACTTAAGCTGGGAATACAGAATGAAGCACAGCAGTCTGTGGAGGGCGATGAGGGAGTTAGTGTTGTAGATAGAAGGACTGACCAACCAGGGTCTAGGGCAGGAAAGCCTGGCTGCTGGAGGAGCTGAAATATAGCAATAGAGTGTGGTAGTAAAGAAGGAAGTGAATAAGGCAGGTGAAGCATTAGAGTAGCCTCTGGGGTTTGGACCCAGACACTTCAAATACACTGGGCAAGCAGTCCACCTCCAAGCTACATCCCTAGCACCTCTGTTCTTTTAACTAGCTGTGATGCTCTAGAAGGCACCAGCCAAATATGAAACGTCACTAATTTGGCAAATCAGAGGTCCATAGCATTGCCTATAATTTTAATTCTCTTTTTTTCCTGTATTGTTTTTTATTCCCTTTACAAAACAAATGAAGGAAGAGTTAGGGAAAATCATTACTTTCCAAAGTTAAAGATGTACACGCATGCAAAATTAAAAAAAAAAAAATAAGTGGAAAATAGGCATTAACTTTCTGTTCTTTCCTCTCAGATACCTACAATCTTACAGTTGGGTATAACCTAATTGAGTTAGTTTCCATATATTAAGTTTTCATTCCTAAAATGCATTTGAACTTGAAAAAAAAATTAATTTGTGTGGGCTGGCAAGACAGACCATCGGGTTAGGACACTTGTCACCCAGCCTGACAACCTGACTTTGAGCCCAAGAACCTAAGGAGAAAACAGAATAGTTGAGAACTTGTCACAAGCCAGGCCGCCCCCCCTTTTCCTGAGTTATGCACACCAGACTCCTACTGCACCCATGTGAAATAGGTCCTTGTTATTTGTTCCAAGTCACCCAGCAGGTGAGTGGCAGAGCTGGGTAATGGGCACAACTTACTTCGCCATCATTTTGCTAATACCAACTGTCCAAGATAATGTGTTCCCTTACGACTAATGTAAAGTGGGTTCTTTGTTCAGATGCCCATCTGTCCTTAGACAGATGTCTCAAGATGGACTGAAAAAGATCTGGCCTCCATGTCTGTGTGCTACTCTCCTAGGACTCTGACCAAACCTCTTAGCCCTCCTTTTCCCAAAGCAAATTCATGTCACTTCGTCATGTAAGTTTCCCATTTAAGATCTTATCCGTGGGCCAGAGAGATGGCTCAGTAGTTAAGGGCACATACTGTTCTTGCAGAGGACCTGTTCCCAACACCCACATGGTGACACATGCACTCAGAGAGGCAGAGGCTGGCAGATCTTTGAAGTTCTAGGACAGCCAAGGCTACACAGAGAAACCCTGTCTCGAAAAAATAAATAAATAAATAGATAGATAGATAGGTAGATAAATAAATAAATAAATAAATAGATGCCTTATACAAGTTAAGTAAAAACATTTCGGGCCTGGGGAGATAGTTTAATGGATAAAACTCTAGTGATACAAGCATGGGAACCTGAGCTTGAGTGTGCGTAGCATGTGCTGGTACCAGCAGAGGCCAGAAGAGAGCACTGGGTTCCCGGAAGCTAGACATCCCTGCCCTATTTGGAGGATATGTGTCTCTCATCAAAGTGTGCTCTGCAGTATCTCACTTGCCTCAGTTATCCTTAGCATTCTAATTGAGTGGACAGTTTAACTGCACCTCCCCCCCCATATCACTATTTGGCTAATATAATTAGCTATTAAAATTTTCCTTCAGCTCTTCCTCTTAATAATTTTAGCTCCTCTTTAAATTTCCTGACCTCTTTTTGTGAAAAGGCACACAGAGAGAAATACAGAGGCCCTGGAGGAGTGTGGGATAAGATAGGGGCTCACTATGCAGCCAAGGCTGGTTCTGAACCCCCAGTCCTGCTGCCTGGGTCCTCAGGCTTAGCATGACAAGTAGCTTTACCCACTAAGCCATCTCCCTGGCCCTGAGATTGGCTTTTAACTAAGCTAACAAGTATCTAACCAGAAGTTTTATATGCATTCCTAAGTTATTTTTCCTTAGAAGCTAGTCAAATTGCTCTCAGATTAAAGCTGTTAAGGGTAATTGTATAGTAGACTGCTTAGCTAACATGCATGAGGCCTTGAGTTTGAAAAAAAAAAAATCACTAAATCTGTGTACATCTTGACAGAATGCAATAGAGTAAATATTTGGGTCTGTATACTTAGTTCCTAGAACAACAGCAATAAGGCTTCTTAAGTTTCAATTTCTTGAAAAGTAATGTGCATGTATGTATAAAATTAGATAATCATGTAAAAGAGATGACAGTTGCATGCCAAGATAAAGGCAGCAGGAGCCTGGAGCTTTTGGAGGCAGAGAACCTCACTCCTCAGAGTATCCAGTGACAGCTTAGTGCCCCTAAGGAGTGTGAACACACATGTGCGTGGTGCTGGGCCTCACCGAACTATTCCCTCCTTCCCAGTATTGATTATAGAAATGACTCAGACTTGGAGATTAAACAGAATTCATTCAAATGGGAATGTACTAATGCAATCAACTGTGCTTTGTTCTCGTTTTCATTGTTCATTGTGTGCTCACTGTTTGATGTCCACTGAAGGAATGAGGGAATAGCAGTCTTGCAAAATGCAAACCAAAATGGCTTGCAGGGCTCTGCGAACTCCTGTTTAATGTCTGCAGCCTCACCTGTTGCCATCTCATGTTTAACACGCACACTGCATTAGATTCTGCAACAAAATCTAGTTTTGTTGGTTAAAAACAAAAACAAAAACAAAAAAAAAAACTGCCATGTTTTAGTTAGGGTTATTATTCCTGTGATGAAACACCATGACCAAGGCAACTTGGGAAGAAAAATATTTATTTGGTTTACATATCCTGAATCCCAGTCCACTGAGGAATGCCCAGGTAGGAACTCAGACTGAGCATGAAGCCAGAGGCAGGAATTGAGGCCGAGGCCATGGATGGGGCTGCTTCCTGCCTTGCCCTACATGGATTGCACAGCCTGCTTTCTTACGGAACCCAGGACCACCAGCCCAAGGTGGCTCCACCAACATTGGCCTGTGCACTCCCCCATGAATCACTAATTCAGAAAATGGAGACATCTCGTTCTGATGTCTCTTCTCCCACAAACCTTTTTGGAAACCCACCATCCAGCTCTTGCTCACATGCCTCTCTCTTGTGCTGATACCAGCCTGGTTACTTCTGGAAGTACTTACCATCCTGTTTAGGACTGCACATTTTTTTCATCTCTATCCACAACCCCTGCACCCCCAACTAGACTAGAAGTTCCATGAGGCAAGAGCTCTGCTGAAGCCCTAGAGTCTGACATAGTCTTGTATTTCATGAATACTAGCTGGGTAAATGGTGGGACATACCCCAAGCCTTGCTAAAGCCCAGCTAATATGCATGGGCAGCCATTAAGAGGAGACCCTCTCCACACTAAGAAAAGGAGCTCTGGAGATTTGGTTTGGTTTTTTATATGTATGCATGTTTTGTTTTGTTTTGTTTTTTGGGGGGGCTCTTGTGCACTGTCTATGCTGCAAAGGCCAGAAAAGGGCATTAGGTCCCCCGGAACTGATGTTACAGGTGGTTGTGAGCCACCGTGTGGGTGCTGGGAACAGAACCCCGGTGTCCTGGAAGAGCAGCCAGTGCTCTTCACCACAGAGTCCTCTCTCTCCAGTTTCTAAGGTCTTTGATTGTTTGATTGTTTGAGGCAACATTTCATGGGCTTAGGCTGGCTCTCAACTCGTGGTCTTTCAGCTTCCATCTCTTAGTGCTGGGATTATAGGCATGTGCCATCGTCCTGTATTTCTGTTCTCCACCAACCCAATACAAAGTCTCACTCTGTATTTCAGGCTGCTCCACAGCAATTCTCCTGCCTCAGCCTTCCAAGGAAAAGGATTACGGGTACTGCCACATCTGACTATAGTTATCTTTACTCTGGTGGGGGGGGGGGGGAAGTCCTGTGCTGACTCTAAAGGATCTATACTACACGGTTAGATATTTTTAAACAACCTTTTAAAATTTATAGATTATTTTGTGGTGCTCAGGTTAGAACTTGCTTCCTTGTGTATGG